CCTTTCTGACTAATTTTAATACAACGCTGAATGAACTAAGAATTCTATACATTACCCTGATTAATTAGCAATGTTTAAGATGAGATTCTGAATCCTAATTTTTGCTATTAAATTCAAACTTATAATTATTGTGAATTAGTTGTCACCGTTCCCTTTAACTTAGTCGTAATTCACTCCTCCAGTGATCCTTTCCCTAGCCTATTAGTTTTACAAAGTTAACTTTTCTTTGTCGTTGCTACTTCACTTTTCACGAATACTTACATATTTCTTGGAATTCTATTATCAATAAAAATTGGTCTCCTCTAACTTGGATTTCATTAAATTCATTAACTGAAGCTGAGTTCGGCGGATTATTTGAAAAACAAAAGAGGCAATGTTCTGCGCAATGTGAGTGTTTCAATGGGCTCTGATTATATCACATTATGTCGGGTTCTACGCGAGTCTACCTCCTATAGGAAGACAAGTAAAAGGTAACAGAATTGGAAATTGGAGTAGTCTCGCACCAATCCAGAAATTGAAGAAGGTACTGGCTGGGGATCCGAACTATGAAGTCAATGCACGATGATGCGAGGTCCGGGAGCCTCGGACGAAGTTTCTGTTACAAATCTACATAACTTACGCGAGTGGTATGTATAAAATCCACATTTGATGAGACAAAGTTAGTATCGTTTTAAACATGTGGAGCGGGGTACTAAATGGGAGAATCATTGAAGCCTTTGAGCTGCTAGAGTTCGTGAACGTTGAAGTTACACCTTTTACAAAATCATTTACCAAATTTATTGGAAAACGTGCCACTAAGCATTCGTGGTACCAGCAATACGGCTGTTCGGCGCGCTTTGCCCGTTCAGTTAAACGTTCGAGAATATCCTGATGCGGAATACCCGACCTGATGGTTAGGGCGGTCTGATTCAATTTCGTGGCCAGCTCGTTCACCTGACCTAAGTCTACTCGATTTTTTTTACTGGGGAGCGGTGGAAGAAAAGTTTACTCAAAGTCAATCGAAAATTTAGCCGATCATTTTTAAGATGTCAAGCTTGATTTGCTCCTGAAGGAAGGCAGTTTGAACATTTATTGTGAATTTAATAAATACTTTCACGAATTAATAAAAATGGCGTTACTATCACACTATATCTTCCGTCACTTCGTCTAAGAAAAATTAAAATTTGTAGTAATTTTTGTATAACCAATTTGAAAAGTAAACGACTTATATTTTTTATATTTTTCTGAACTATTATGACTTGGTCTATCCTCGTTTCCGACTTGACGTCGACTTCGACTAAATAAATCGTTTCATTAACGATGTAATGCTTTTTCTTAAGGTATAATTTACAACTCGCGTGGTACAATTTAACGAAACGGTTCGATAAATTGTAACGTTTGCAATATATTTTTTTAAAGCTCATTATCCATCCAGTATTTGCATAAATTTTTTGCTATGCATTTTAATATAAACATGTAAAATATTCTTAATTTAAATGATCATTCAATTCAAATACGTCAATTACTAGTTGCTGCGTGAACTATGCCAAATGGCACAAATTACCCAACTTTTCACTATATTGTGCTTTTCAAAAGAGCCTGTCCTCCGCTTATTTTTTGAACGGACCAAGTTAACAGGCTGAAATTAATTCGAGGCGATGAAATTGATGAATGACTAGGTATTATGTTTTAACATAAAAGTGATAGAATTACATTTCATTCATTCATGTTTTATTTTTCTACATAATCAATTCCCTTTATAATGATGTAAAATACATGAGCTTCAGTTCAGTAGTTTTGAAGATTTATTGATTTAAAGCTTAAAGTAGACTTTAATAGGTACCTACATCAGATTAGTTTGTACAACTTTCAGAATAAATTTGACTAAAAGAAGTTACTTAATAAGTAAATGCTTTTCTTCACTACGCCCATAGTTTGTTTATCATTTTGTTGTTGAAAATAGCTCCTGGAGCGTTTTTTTGTGGCAAAAAAGTTATTTTTTGAAGAAAGATAAGGAAATATCTCGTACTAATTTTAAATAGGAGTTTAGTACATAGTTTGCGATTGATTTGACCAAACTTGGTTGCTAAAATAACTTGTAACGCTTTATTACATAAATTAACCATGGTATATTCCACAGCAGAAAGAGTTGAAATTATCGAAATATTCTTCGGAAATAATCAGTGCGCTAATAGAACAGCAGAAATATTTAATGAGCGACATGAGAGCAGTAACGTGCATCGAAAATATGTTCTAGAAGTTGTAGCTAAATTTCGGGAAACTGGGTCTGTCGCCAATAAAAAACGCAACATTGAAAATCCCATAAGGAACGAAGCAATAGAAGTGGGGGTTTAGGGCAAGTTTATGTAGATCCTACGTTAAGTACCCGTAAATTGGAGACTGTGTGTGGTGTTAGTCGACGCACTGTCCAACGGATTCTAAAGACCCATAGTTTTCATCCGTATAAAATTCACCTGGTACAAGAATTTAATGAAGACGATTTTGATCGGCGATTACAATTTTGTGAAGATATGAGTGAACGAATTATAAACGATGAACATTTTCTATTCAACACTTGCTTTTCCGACGAATGTTCCTTAAATAAATGGCGTAGTAAATCGTCAAAACTGCCGATATTGATCCGATTCTAATCCTAGAATTTATCATGATGTTCATACACAGCAGCCACAAAAATTAAATGTTTCGGCTGGTATTCTTGGCGATCATTTAGTTGGTCCTTTTTTGTTACCTGGAAATTTGACCGGTGAAATGTATTTTTAATTACTGGAAGACGCCATAGATCCTGCATTAACAGGCATAATTGAAAATCAGAATGATCGGCAGTACATTGCGAATAGGTTGATGTTCCAACAGGATGGTGCCCCACCACATTACGCATTACGTGTTCGACAATATTTAGATCAGACGTTTCCAGATCGATGAATTGGTAGAAGAGGTGCCATCGAATGGCCCCAAGATCGCCAGATTTATCACCTTTGGATTTCTTTGTGTGCGGTCATTAAAAAGGCAAAATCTATGCTACTCAGCCATCATCATTAGAAGACCTGCGACAAAGAATTGTGAATGAGTGCCTTCAAATTACTCCTCAAATATTGCAAAATGTGCGGCAACGTTTTGAGCAAAATCTTTATTATTGCATGGAGAGTCATGGTGGCTATTTTCAACATTTTCTTGCCTAATGGGTCAGTTCATTCTTCATTTTTTAGTTACTTTGCTGCCAAATGTATTGATCTCCACTAATGATGATGTATTAGTTTTATTTAAGCTTTAAATCAATAAATCTTCAAAACTACTGATCTGAAGTACATTAATTTTATATCATTATAAAGAGAATTGAAAGACCTTTAAAATAAGGTATCACTCGCCCCCCCTTTCCATTTAAGATTTTGGGGGTGGTGTCACCCCCGCTTAGGGCGCTGCACGTGTTAACGTGATTTTTTGCCAAACTTGTGTCCTCCTAGAAAACAAAATCGACGGGTCTGAGCGTTTTTCAAAAAAAAAATGAGCTGTAAGTAAATGCGTGTTTCGATGCGCCACCCTGTATATATCCCTCATACATAGACATGCTACCTACTCCTGTGTGTGAACGTCGGTAAGCTCAAAGACATAAGTTTTTTAGTTGTGTGTCTCCATTTCGATAACTTTGTCGTTACGAATGAGTGCCCTTCAATCATATTTGTCAGAGTGACAACTTACTTGACATCGGCGTGTGATCAATCTTCAATATAAAAGTGTACAATGTCCAAAAATACGATAATTGGAGAAGGCCGACAGCTCATGGTAAATTTGAGATTGAATTCGCAACGGATATCAAGAGTCTCACCATAAGACTGGATGAGTATATTCCACAGTTGCGTGACGTAAGCTTCAGTTGCACGACCTGCTGCATCAATCTTGTTTGAGCCCAACCAGAGCTCATTATGGGAATTGAAATCACCGAGAACTACTGGATTACGTTTTTTCTTCTAAGGAAGTTCAAACATTTCGAATTTGTGAGTAATTCGGAATAAAAGATGATAGACACATCCACTTTATCCACTCATATACAAAATGTTTGAATTTGTTTAGAAGAAAAAACGTAATCTTCTTTTTTCGTATAAAAATAACATTTATCTTTAGGAATGGTTTGTGATTCATATCGGTAAGGAAAACACTTGTATTTTGCTATTAAATTCTCTTTGAACTAACCCTGTATATTGCTCAATAAACTAGTGGTGGTGGCCGGAAAACAGGTATTTTGGGGTAAACAATTAGAAATTCCCAAAAACTACTTGACCAATATACTCCAATTCTGTTGTTATTATTTAGAAGTCCTACGGATTTGAAGAATTTCAAGCAAGTGCCAAAGCCTGCATTTTGCCTCGTTTTTCGGCCATAACATTTTTGCTATTAGTAGGTTCTTTTTACGCGTAGTCTCATTTTGTAGATCTCATAAATACCTAAAAATCTTATGTCAAAATTTTTTCGTTCCTGTCAACACTTTCGATTGAATCCCAAAAAAACACGTTTTCTCATTCTTTGTTGTCGAATAAAAAGTTTTCCCAAAATTGGTGTACCCATTTTTGCGTCCATGTTTTAAATACCCTCTTGAACAGCTTGCACCAATAAAACCAGACTTTACTATGATTTCGGGGAAATTTGCGAATATGATTAGACTTCAAGAGGGTCCATTTCTATTAGAACCCTTGTCACATGCATCAACCAAAAAGCACCTAATATCAAAACGGTTTAACATACTATAAGCTTAAGATTTTGCTAACATAGCCTTCTAAGATCACATGTTTTCCTGCCAAAAACACTAACCAAATAAGCATCTGAACTGGGTTCGGGGAAGGGTAATAGGGATCAACTCTCGTACATTTCTTCTGCATAATATGAGCGAAACCTCGATCCGTTGCTTTCTGTAAAAAACGTCAAAAAGGAACTTTGGACAGTTCTCAATTAAAGCGATGATGTGACTTGGTATTTTTTACCTTGGACTTGAAGCTTATATCTATATTATTTATTCCCACATTTATAATTCTGACAATGTAATCAAAAACAAGTTATTTTTGTCACCATTCTCAAATGGATCCAAGACAAACATCAAGTGGGGAAATCTGTTTTTCAATACCCGATAATTCTCCAAGAAAAAGTGCCCAAGTAATTTATAGCATAATTGAAAAATAATCATCGGTATCTACCAATTATAAAACGATGCACGAATAAGAATTATAGTTATATAATGAAAGCACACATAGAGAACTGTCATTTTGTCTGGAACACCCACTTCCTCTCTTTATTCATACTTATTATCAAATCAAAGTTTTATTTTGGATAAAGTGAATGGCTAGTGTAGTCAAGGATGAGTGCGATGATGTTTTTGTTGTTTGTAGTATTATCAATTTCAGGTAAGTACAATGTAAACCAGAATATCTAGGATTTCGAGAAAAGAAATGACATTTTACAACAAAATTATATCCTGTAATTGAAAATGCCCCTCATCTAGATGAAGAAGTGGCTTTTTTAGTTTCAAGCCCACTATCGCGTATATTTCGAAAACTATGTAGAATGTATAGGTATAAGTAGTCCACGTGACAGTTATAGAGGATGAATGGTCCTTCAAAATAAGATTTTGTTTGTTTAATTTGGTGTTTGGTGCAGCCCTTAATTTGTCATTGCAAAGCAGTCGATTTTTTAATTTATTTTTTACGGAAAAAAATGTCACAATTTCAATCAATAAAAATGGTCTTTTCTGTCAATCGACGTAACCGTTGCAGCAAATTCTTTTCATCCACTTTCAACTTTTTACATACTCAAGAGTTTTTTTTATGAAAAAGTTAACTAGAAACATTTAGACAATTTTGACTGTGTAAGCTAGTGATTTTTATCAATGTTTTGATTCTTAAAGTCGTAGTCGAAATAATGTTTTGTGGGGCTAAACATTTTTTAAAATCTCATTTTACACTGACATGTTTATAAGATATTCACGTCATTGCTGTTACAATTTTTTTTATGAATCTGCCGAAGTTTTGATATCATTCAGTGAAGGTTTAATTGTGGCTGGATAGCGACGAGTGGATGTATTCAGGCAGTGCGTAGCTGAGGGAGTTTGAGTGTGCGTACCGTCTGTTACACGGAGGGTACCGATAAAGCTTTTAAATAATTTTATTCTTTATTGGTTTTTCTTCTTCAGAATATGCATTAGCCGTTCCTAAAGCCAGTATACCACAAGGAGCATTAGAAGGATCTTATAAGCGTTCTTATTTTGGAAGAACATTTTCAGCCTTTGAAGGCATTCCTTATGCGAAACCTCCAGTCGGAGATCTCAGATTTGCGGTAAGTTTGAACGTCAACAACGAATTAACTAGAATGTTGTTTTATATATCGTAAATCTGGAAAAGAATCGACACCAAAATTAGTTCCTATACTAAGTGACATATAAATCCGAACACCCAGTTTAAATGGTTTTATTTTAATAAAATTTTGTATAAGTACTTAATGAAGCATAATAAGTAAATGATAAAAATTTCAAAATGATTGCACTGCTTTAAAGCCCTTTGACGTTTAATAATGTGTGGATGCACCCTGATCTGCTACGCATTCTCCAACTCGCCTAGGCATGCTTCTGATCAGGTGGTCAATGTCCTCCTGTGGTATCTCATTCCAGGCAACCACCAACTCCTCTCGAAGTGCTTCTAGAGTCTGAGGAGGACGTTGCATATTGAGCAATCTCCTACCCCTCATATCCCACACGTGCTCAATTGGGGAGAAGTCGGGAGATCTTGGTGGCCATGGTAACAATGTGACATCATTATGTTGAAAGAAGTCTATTGTGACTCTTGCAACATGTGGTCGGGCATTATCTTGTTGGAAAGTTGGATCTGCCAGGGTGTCAAGATAGGGTAAAAGATGGAGTTCTAGAACTTCGTGGATATAACGCTGCGCGTTCATGTTACCTCTGATGAAGATTAAAGGTGACCTGGAACCATAAGCTATAGCACCCCAAACCACAACTCCAACGGTGTGATGAACATGTCTTTCAACAAAAAACTGTGGATTCCTCCTTTCACCACGTCGCCTTCTAACCCTGGCACGACCATCGTGCATGCCTAAACAAAATCGAGACTCGTCACTAAAGACAATACTGTTCTATTCTTGATCCCAGAGTGACCGTTGTCTGTACCACTCAAGGCGATTACGTCGGTGTAAGGGTTAGAAGGCGACGTGGTGAAAGGAGGAATCCACAGTTTTTTGTTAAAAGACATGTTCATCACACTGTTGGAGTTATGGTTTGGGGTGCTATAGCTTATGGTTCCAGGTCACCTTTAATCTTCATCAGAGGTAACATGAACGCGCAGCGTTATATCCATGAAGTTCTAGAACCCCATCTTTTACCCTATCTTGACATCCTGGCAGATCCAACTTTCCAACAAGATAATGCCCGACCACATGTTGCAAGAGTCACAATAGACTTCTTTCAACATAATGATGTCACATTGTTACCATGGCCACCAAGATCTCCCGACTTATCCCCAATTGAGCACGTGTGGGATATGATGGGTAGGAGATTGCTCAATTTGCAACGTCCTCCTCAGACTCTAGAAGCACTTCGAGAGGAGTTGGTGGTAGCCTGGAATGAGATACCACAGGGGGACATTGACCAGCTGATCAGAAGTATGCCTGGGCGCGTTGGAGAATGCGTAGCACATCAGGGTGCATCCACGCATTATTAAAGGTCAAAGGGCTTTAAAGCAGTGCAATCATTTTGAAATTTTTATCATTTACTTATTATGCTTCATTAAGTACTTATACAAAATTTTATTAAAATAAAACCATTTAAACTGGGTGTTCGGATTTATATGTCACTTAGTATAGTTCGAACCTAGTAATATATACAGTCTTTCCTGCTTGGATGAAAAATATTCACGGCAGCGAGTTTTGGGTCTTAAGAAGAAGACTTCATATATAAAAAAATGTAATAAAAGTCCTACAGAAATTGAGATAATAAAAAAATTTCGTCCTCGGCATTTAAAACGCGTTGTGGGCGAACCGACCCCCATCCACTCCACGTCTGGGGTGCAAATCTCCACTACAACGTGCCCGTAAAACAATTTAACTAATTGTTTCTGGATGTAGTATGTGCCTATTCGGAAATCGGTGTGCATACAAACGAGAAGCCGCTCGCGAATTTTGCCCTGCTTCTCCATACGCTCAAACAATGTCCACTAACTCCTCATTAGTGTACAGATGTGCCATTTTTATTAATAAATAACTAAAAATATAAACTCGCAAAATACTTTCTTATTTAACTTCACAAAAATTGACCGTTCTTCATTCATATCACCCACGATACAGATTGAACCTTATTTACACGTTCTTATCAGTATGAAAAAACAAAAAATTCCTGGTATTTTGTTTTCGTCAGTTGTTTGGTACAACATTTGCTACTATAAATTATTAATGCGTGTTCTAGTATCACAACGATTAACGCAAAATACAGATATTTATTTTAAAATAGGCAGGTGAAAATCCGTATGAACGGCACTGGTGAAAATTAAAAAAAAATAGTACGTTGAAAAATGATGGAATTTGCAGATATCAATATTAAACGATTCATTTGTGAAAAATTTACAACCCTGTACCTCAAAAGTTAAGACGTTTAGGACATATGCTTATCAAGTTTTATTTCTAAAATGGGTCAATGAATTGTCCCCTTAAATATTGATATTCAATTAGGAAACTACCGGTATTATTAGGAATATTATTTTACAACAATTTTAATTTTCAATGATATTAGGGTGTCATAGAAAAAGTATTTATTAAGAAAAATGAATTTTAGTCACATCTTCGTAATTCATAAAAGGCCTCCTATCAAGTTCATTTTAGGAACCTAATTGACATTAATTGTTTTGTTCCTCTCTGCTGTTTAATTGTTCATATAACATTGTTAGCAGATGACTTGCCTTCATTTGATTAATTGCTAGGCAAAGTAATTACATTTCAAAGTGATAATGAAATGTTCCATTAGAAATTATATACCCATTTCAGTGTTTGTTGGATATTGTATATCAGTTCAACGCGACAATAACATCGTTGTTATACATACACGGCGTCCCTGAATTAAAAGGAAACCTCTCAAGTTCATATACCTAAGTCCTTTAGGTTAAAGAGCTGGTAATACTAACTTTCGTATAGCATTGTTTTAGTAATTGATTGAAAACATGCAAGCTTGCCTATTTCTGTGTTGCAAAGGTCTCTTCTATGAACAGATCATGTTTTAAAGAATAAAACAACCACTGGATAGTTTTTTAAAAATGCTGTGTTCTTGTAGGAATTTATTTATAATGTCTCTAACTTTTTCAGCCTCCAGAACCAGCTGATGGGTGGGAAGGAGTCTTAAAGGCTGATAAAATGTACATGTGTGAACAATATATACCGTATCCTATCGTTGAAGGAATTCAAGGTACACATATTTATTAAACCAAAAAAGGGATAGTATGTGGAAGAGATTCTCAACATTATATACAATTTTGATTTTTTTTATGGATGGACAAGGCCGGATTAGGAATCTGAGGGCGGGTAGCGGAACGAAAAAACATTAAAATTGAAGAGTGGGGGGGGGGAAGGTGCCGGTCTACGTTGCACATATGGAGCGTTTGTTCATAATTTGAAAAAATGTCAAACTTCGGCGCCTGGCGAGAGGGGGTGGCCCCCAAATCCGCTCTTGTGTATAGAACTTTTATTTGATACCATACTTGCTTCCTTCTGGCGAAAACTCAAATAAATCTTGACTACAACGTTGTTGTAATGTAACATCTGAAACAGCCAAGGGGGATAGGAAGAGGGTGGGGTGCTTAATGGAGGGGGTGGAGGTGGTGTGTTTCTTCTCATGGTTTGTCACGATGCTGTTATTTCATTCTAAGACGGCTGTTGGGAAAATTTAGTCAATAACGAAGAAAAAAAGTATATTCAAGGAACTCATACCCCTACTTTGTCATCTGCCATTTGTTGAACGGTGAAAAATCTCGAACGCGCCAATTTATCATTGGCGCATGGTCTCAGCTTTGCGAAAAAAAATCGGAATGCGAGATTCAAAAGGGAACTGTGATTTGTATGGCATTTCACCTATCTCACATGCGACATTGACCATCCGACATTCCAGAATACCACCCTGGGTAGGTTTTTGCGTTCTAGAAGTCAACTGGCATTTTCGGGGCGATGAGCGATAGTTACGTGTCTGATACCTCGAAAACAACAGAGAACTGAATGCTCGTCTGTGTCGCTTTGGAGAGATTGGACGTTATTTGGCAGCGGTATTGACCATTTGTTAAATACAATATTTTAGCTGGCACACGATTTTGACTTCAAATAAATGATAATGATAACGTAATTCTAGAGTGAAGTACTAACCTCTGAATAATCTTTCTAACTCGGCGGCTTTTTAACCTTTTTATCGCATAGTACCCTTAAGTATAAAGTCTTTTAGTCCCTCTTTCCCTCTAGTTGAAATGTAAACAAACCTCCAGCTCCTGAATTAGCAATTTTTGTAATTATTTTAAGATTTGATCAAATATCCTTGACTATTTCATGAAGTAGCTTCGCGCTTAGTTGACCATAGTGTCAAACGATCTGTTATCATCGATCTGGTCAACGCACACATGATCTAGCCCATTGATTCCCAAAGTGGTCTATATCGACCCCTAGGGGTCTATGATCTATGACAACCTGCAAGGGGTCTACGTCAGCGAAAAAAAATTTGGGGGTCCATGAAATGAATATGGGCGTCCGCCCTAGTGGATCTCAACACATACACTGATAGTACCTATTTACTTACATTATACTATCTTATAATATCAAAACATATACATTATTTATAAAAGTACCTATGAAGTAAAAAATGTATTATATATGTTTATAAAATTGTGTAAGTTGTAGGATGTTGGTATTCGCTTTGTGGTCGCAATACATTTTGAACTTGTAAAAACCTGAGAGTCGCAGTCTCAGAGCTTCACTACCTTGCACTGACTTGTTCAATTCGTCACTCTATAAATACGAATGAGGGACAAATACGTTTATTCGTTTCCTGAATCTTGAAAAGGAAAGTGCTAAGAAAATATTTTAAAAAATATAAACAGATAGTATATCACACAAATTATAGTGAGTCAGTGTTATTTTGTTTGAGAGTGCTGGAGAAAAGTAAGTACATTATTTTTTATTAAATTTTAGTTTTGTACTCTTAGTTAGCAAAGATAGATAAATTACGCCAATCATGACTTTAGTTATTAGTAGTTAAATCTTTAATCATGCAAAATTACACGAGTACTCCTCAATAGTTTCTTTTTGAAAGTTTTAGCAATCGGTAATATAATTACAGAGCAATCTCCGTAATTCGAGCTAATTGTTGCAAGAAGATGTTCGAATTATGGAATGTTTTCGGAAAAATCAAAAAATATTTTTAATATACAGCTGCTGGATTTTCTGTCTTATTTAAATAATTTAATTTTGCCCACAGATGACTGATGCCATGTCCGAATCTAAAAAGAAATGTAGACAGTACAGTGTTGATTATTTGAAATTTGGCTTCATTCCATCATTGCCGGACAAACAATCGCCTATGTGCCTTTTATGCAACAAAGTTTTGGGCAATGACGCTATGAAACCATCTAAACTGCAAGATCATCTGAGAAGATGCCACCCTGATAAAACAGAGAAAGATTTGAAATACTTTCAAACACTCAAAGATAAATTTCAGAAGAGGCCTATACTGGACAGAATGTTCGCTTCGACGTCACAAAGAAATGATGATGGTCTGCGGGCGTCTTACAATATCTAGTTACTTATAGCAAAATCCGGAAAACCGCATACTATCGGAGAGAAGTTAATTTTGCCAGCCGTTGAAGAGGTTTTACAGAAACCTGCTTCTGATATCATTAAAAGAATTCCCTTAAGCAATAATACTGTTGAAAGACGTATTGATGAAATGAGTTCTGATATTGAAAGCTTCTTATGTAATTATTTGCAAACGACCCATTTCTCTATACAACTGGACGAGTCAACTTTACCTGATAATGCAGCATTATTATTGGCATATGTTCGTTTTATTATGAATCAAGAAATCTACGAAGAACTGCTCTTCACAAGAACTTTGATAACCGACACTAAAGGTGAATCAATATAATATTTCATGTTTTGAAAAAGCAATTCCTTTATCAAATATAATATCAGTAGCTACAGATGGAGCACCTGCCATGGTTGGACGTTATCGTGGATTTATAAGCTATTTAAAACAAAATGTGTCAGGGGTGTTAGCAATACATTGCGTCATCCATCGACAACATTTAGTTGCTAAAAATTTGAGTGTTAGATTGCATGAATCACTTCATTTAGCCATTGATGCAGTAAACAGAATCCGAAGCAACGCGTTGAATACGCGGTTATTTGCGCAGTTGTGTGAAGAAAATGACGAACACTTTCATCAATTACTCCTTCACACTGAAGTACGCTGGCTGTCGAAAGGCTTATGTTTGACAAAATTTTTTGCACTTTTTGAGACTATTTTAGAATTTCTGGATACTAAAAATAAAATTTTAAAAGAAAATTTAATGAAGAGGAAAACAGACATCGCCTATTTAACAGATTTGTTTACAAAATTTAATATGGTTAATTTGCAATTACAAGGCGACAGTTTAAATTTGATTAAAACAAAGTCCAGCGTTTCTTGCCAAAGTTAAACTAATGAATCAAAATGTTCGACGGGGCGAATTTTCTCAGTTCCCCAATTTGTCACAGACAAGCTGCCAGGAAGACGACGTTTCAACTTACGTTCAACATTTAAATGCCCTCTATTCAGATTTTGAATATAGGTTTGAGGATATTTTGACTATGGTAATACCACCGTGGATAATTAATCCATATGGTGACATAGAAGAAACAAATGTGATAATACAAGAGGAACTGACTGAACTAAGTACAAACGAAGGACTTAAGGTTCAGTTTAAAAACGGATATCAGCAATTCTGGCTGCAAAACAACATACCCGTTACTTATCCCGTATTATGGAATATAGCGAGGAAATTTCCTTTCCATCGTCATACCTAGTGGAAAGGGGGTTCAGCGCTGTTACCAATCTCCTAACGAAAAAAAGAAACAGACTGGACATCATTAGCCGAGGAGATTTAAGATTAACCCTTACAAAATTGATGCCAAATGTTGATAATTTATTATTAAAGCATCAGGTTCATCCTTCTCACTAAAAATATTGACTTATTGCTTATGTTATTTTATTTATAGTTTATTTTATGTTTATTGGTGTCTGACCAATAAATCCCGCATTGGGAATAAGTGCCCGCATTGATTTTTTTAAAGAACCCCCTTTATAGAAAATATTTTTTTTTAAATTATTCTGAAAATTCAAGGATAGGTACACACTAAAATTCGTTAATTTTTTGCCTATTTTTAGATAACTTAAACGTATAAGAAGCGGAATTTAATCAAACTAACAGTGAAATTATTGTAGAACATACGTTTATGTTATAATTAATGAACGAACTCGCTTATTGTACTATTTTAAGTAAAAATTTTTTTTTTTATTATTTTTCACTTTTTTTTATTTTATCCCTCTTATTTTTTTTCAATGCGGGCACTTATTCCCAATGCGGGCACTTATTGGTCAGACACTTTTTTATTTAATGTTACGTATATTTTACATAACAGATACAAAATTTTATTTTGAGTAGTTTTAATTTAAATTCAATTAATAAATGTATAAATTAACATGTGTTTTTACTTTAAGTTTTTAACACTAAACTTCACTACAGTTAGAAATTTACAGGAAATCAATATCAGGTAAGTAGGGGGTCTACCCAACACGGAAAAACATGGCAAGGGGTCTACGACACAAAAAAGTTTGGGGAACTCTGATCTAGCCAATAGATATGCCCACGACACGACGGCTTATGCCGGTTTTTTAAATTACCCAGTCCGGCCAGTTATCCATAGACTGTACAACATTTTCATCTTCAAGTATCATCAAGGTTTCCTATTTTTAGGGCAAGAGGATTGCTTATACCTGAATGTGTATGTACCTCGTGAGGAAATTGATGGAAATGAAAACTTAGACGTAGTAGTCCACATACATGGAGGTGCTTTCATGATTGGTGCACCAGTGATTATGGCGGGTCCAGAAATGGTTATGGATAAAGATTTTATTTTTGTTAATTTCAACTACAGACTCAATATTATGGGTGAGTGGATACTGCCATCAAACTTAAACATGCTGAGAAACCGAAAATTTATCAGTGATACAAAATCTGGTAGTTACTCCAAATAAGTAGGATACCATGAAACTGTATATATTGGGGAAAAGAAGAATATCATTTTCACAAAAATATACAGGATGATCCGTTTTGAAATTTACAACTTTATTCAAGAAAACTTTACTGAGACAAAGAAATTACGAGGGGTGTCAATTTATAGCGGGGCAAAGGTACGAATTTATTACTTAGGGGGAAGAGTGAGATGATATCCGCTTACCTCCTCATTGCTAAGGTCGACTGTAAGATAAGCTGAGTCAAGTGAGTATGTCCCATTGCTGGAGAATCTCACACTTCGGGCAGGAAATGTCGACAGGACAATACCGTCGAGCTTTTTTGCTTGAGAGAGGCTATAAAGTCTCCCCCTGTCTAAAAAAAGCAATAAGAAGTGACCCTAGTATATTTGGAGGGTTTGTAATAGTTTGTGACGATGATATTGTAGTTCTGCGTTCAAGCTAGATGTAGAAACCTCATTTGTAACGGAACAAAACGCTTTTTCAAAAACCGTCCTCGCAAGTTCAGAGATTCACCAATTAAACTTTAATTTCATGTTAGGAAATTAGTATAGAGTTGTAAAATGAATGTACGTATTTCCCTATAGGATTCTTGAGCACCGAAGATGACGTAGTTTCTGGAAATAACGGACTCAAGGATCAAACAATGGCTCTACAATGGATAAAAGACAATATCAAGTACTTCGGTGGAAATCCGGCTTCAGTCACCCTAACTGGATTGTCAGCGGGTGGTGCCAGTGTGCATCTGCACTATTTATCACCACTTTCCAAAGGTAATGTTGCTACTTTCTCTTCGTATCGCTCCTTATCAATGAGCGTGCACTTCAACTATAGAGCGACTCTTTTGAAGGTTCTATCTTCTTATAGGGCTATTTCATAGAGGTTGGGCTCAAAGTGGTACAGCCCTGTCTCCTTGGGCAATAACTGAAAGGCCATTGGACAAAGCGAAGAGGCTCGCGAGATACTTCAACTGTGATATAAGTTCAAGTCAAATCATGGTGAGTTCCAGTTCAATAATAACTTAAAATATTATTCCTCAAAGGATGACCTTGATTTGAGGTCACAGGTGTTTAATGAAGTAATTTAATCCTCTCAAGAACATATGATTCTGCAATTGAGGAATGGATTTCTTTCCAACATACTCTGTCAACAAATAAGTCCATTTTGCATATTGCGATGTTGTTGATCTAAAATGAGAGATGAGATTCTGTGTGAAAAGAACTGGAACTGCAGCTCTCAGTTCCAGGAATCGTGTCTTGAAATTGTACATGGTGGCTCAAATTAAACCATATGGTTTAAATTCTTCATAACCCTTCTATTTGAGCATTAATTAAAACGAAACATTTTTTTAAATAATGGATAATTAGCTGTGAAAGATATCACGCAAGTGGTGCCCATTTTCTGCATCACATATTCGTGTTCTTTAAATACCATTTTCGATAACTTTGGAGCATTATGATTGGATTTCACTCTGAATATTGTCATTCAAGTAGGGAATGTTTCTTGGCTGACTCTTAAACAGATATTCATACTAATATTTCCGAACAAATAACTCAAATGCCCTTACATTAATCCAGTCCGGGCTAATTTAAGTTGGTTCTTTCTCAAAAAATCTTCTTAGCTAACTACTCCGTTGAAGTGTCTTTAGTCTCTTTAAGCTACCGGTTTAGATAGTTTCTACAGCTCTCATTAAAAAATATTACAGCATTATTCGATTATGGAAGACAGCAATGGAAACTAGACAGTTTTGTAAACTCCCAAAACTCAAACTGAAATAGCAACGTATGCACACTGATGAGTTAAAACGTCATATTCCAGACATGAATAATAAATTTCGCCGGTTTTCATTCGTTGCTCCATACTATATCGTTTACTATCGAATACCTATATCAAATCGTAAAAAATGATGTCAAGTAGATGGACTCTACGCTTCAAACGCCTTCGAAACGGCTTCCAGTACAATTTTATCTATATATAATGGCTTTTTAAGGAATAGCGCATAGTCCATTATTGGGCTTTTCGCGAATAAAAATTGCCTCAAGTAGGTTGACTCTGCACTTCCCACGCAACGTCGTTATCAGTTCATAAAGCAAACTCTAGACCCCCGACAAAAAAGTCAGTCAAACCGGTCCATACAATTATTAATGATAATAATGAAATAAATAAGCCCATTTTATACTACAAACTTACTTGTCCTACTTGTTACCGTGCTATGATATGCTCATGATTTACATGTGTCTATCGTACAAATATTGTTTAGGCGCTATCCTAAATTTTCATGCTTGGAATTGTTTAAGAATTAAAAGAAGTGAGTTTAAATTAGTAACTAATACGTAAAGCTTCTATGAAAAAAAAAGCAGTCCATAGATATTCTTTCTCGGCCCTACCGGTAGTGCATCTGTAAACATCACCGCTCCCGGATACTTAACCCTGTTAATATGTGTAATATTATACCAGAACAACAGAACAGTCACCAAGGCCGGCGGCAGGCCATCGGAAGATGGAGCCGCGGCGGATAAATACGAAATCCATTTGCTGAGAATATTTTTTTAAGGGCTGATATGTCCAATAGGTGCATAGAATAACAAAGTTTGAGAACGCATAAATGTACTACCATCAAAAAATATTAACCCTCCACGCCCCCCTACAACCTCCACCCCGTAGACTTTTAGCCTCTATTAATTTTTTTAATGATCAGGACCCTCTGAGTCGTCAAAAATGAAGTTTAAGCGATTTTTGTTTGTTACGATTAGCGGACAGACTGACGGAAATGAATGACGTGGTTTTTCGTGATGCACATATCATATAACATCCGAAAAACATACTTCAAAAATTTTCGTGCAACTGTGCAATGGTAGCCTTATTTTTTTTTTTGAGCTGCAGCGTCATCAAGGTTCCATAGCTGATTATGATAGCTCTTGATACTTTGGATCCTGGAAAAGCTATTAATTCAATAGTTGAACTTTAAATAGAGAGAGCTATTCCTCAGAATATAGCGATATGCATTTAATAACTTTATTCTTGTTGCAATTTTTGATAACTGACCGTGAATATTACTTCCGAATTTAAGAAACCACATTAAATTACACTCCAAGCATAACGCACATCAGATAACATGGCGCTCCCCTCGTGTATGTCCGTGCAGGCCGCTTCATCGCCTGCTTTTAAGTCACAAATATGGACCAAGGATGCCGACTATCGCACCGTGGTAGCTCAATATCCTTTCATTAGAGAGTTTTTAGTGCATGAAAGGTTGTTCTTAAGCCTTCTGTTGGGTTATTTTTGACAGCGGCAGCAAATAACGGATCTCGACGAAAAAAGTTTTAATGACCACTAAAGTGAACCGTGGTAATTTGAAAGTCAGGGTGATACTTGTGCCCAAACCGGATAAAAAATAAATGGGGTTATGTTTCATCATAGAAAAAATTTTCAAAAACAATCTGGAACGTCAAAAACGAAGCTAGAGCGACATTTTTTTTGTTTTTTCCCTTAGCTCCGCCACCTCTGGATCGCTTTTCAAAAACTACCAAGCTTTTTCGATTCTGGCATAGTAGTACCATTGTGTGAAAATTTAATCGAAATCCTATAAGCGGACAGACAGACTGACGAAAATAAGCGAGATGGTTTTTCGTGATGTAGATGTCGTGTATATATTTATATATATATATATATATATATATATATATATATATATATATATATATATATATATATATATATATATAATATACCATTTTCGCGATTACAATACTCCCTCACAAAGTGGCGTAGAAAGTAAAAAGGACGTCCAGCCCTCCAAAACGGCAAACGAGCAAACCATTTTGCGCCACCCTGTATCAAACCATTGATGAATATATTCTACGTGAAGATAGCCAAATATATGCTGTATTTCGACGTTTAAAAAAGGATCTGATACTAGCGCCACCTATGAGACAATAGTGGAACCCAAAAATAAATAATTACAGAACCAACGCCCTTAACTCTATTCAAAGTAGATTTATAAACTCGTTTTTGTGTTCAGCTAGTGACTCGTAGATGGCGCCACTATCCTTGAAATCACCTTTTTGGTTAGTTATCTTCAGGTAGAGAACGTTAACTAATGAAATGAGATAACTTCAATACAGGGTGGCCCATCCATGTGTGGACGGAATATTACTCATAAACAAATACATTTTAAGAAAATCTATTTATTACATGTCATACATGACGATTTAGCGCACATTACTAAAATATTGGCAATTATACAGGATGTGCCAGTTTTGACCTACGTATCAAAGCTGTGATTTTTAAAATAAAATGCCTCAAATTTTATTGCATATTTGGATAAATCAATTCAAAATAAGAAGATTGATATAACATACTATGGGGTTTTGGTAATTAGCTACTGAGATGTAAGGTGTTTTGTCCAGAAAAATCGGCCACTTCGGCAACTCCTCAATCCGCCATTTTGAAATTTGGAGTGCTGAATTTTGTATCAAAAAAACTTACACACCTCAGCTTTTATCTTATTTGTTACTTTTTTTGAATTTCCATTTTTGGTCATACAGGGTGGTCAAAAACGCGAATTGTACTTTTTCTCAAAAATTTCAAATGCATCACCCTGTATATTTGGGCAAATTTGGATTCAATTTCTTATAAGCTGTGTTTTTTGGAATAAGGTTTGATTCAGATAAAATCTCTAGATTTTGTGTTATTAAGTTTTTAATAGAACAACACACCAAAATTAAGGAAAAAAATCACATCATCCAGAGAAACAAAAGACAAACAGTGGGCTAATTCCATATTGCCACTAACAGTACAGATTTGACGTAAAAACTAATAGCAATCAGAACGGTATAAATCAGCTTCAATTCAAGCGTAATAGAGAAAAACAACTTTAACAACAACATAAACAAACAAATACTGCATATATCAGTTTCTGCTCCAATTTTCCGTGCACTTAAATGGGGATTTTCCTGCAACTTTAATAGAACCTCCAACTGATTCGCCTCATTGGTAACACTTGGATTATTTATACATTTTTTACTGCTCCCCTTGATTCAAAACGTTCTCGTAGTGTGCAAAATGTTTCCGGCCTTGGATGTCGCATATTAGGGTACCGTTGCTTATAAATGCGAGATGCTAGGAAATCATTTCTTTGGACTTCGCCCAAACCGAACACCATATTCACTATTTCTTCTTTAGAAAAATTCATTTTCAAACACGTTTTTATTATTATGCTCATAAAGCTAATTTTGACAGTTTGTAACTAATCAACAATTTATTTGTTTCCAAGGATGATGCGATATTTTAGGGAATTAAGCCGTTCCATAAAAGACGTGCCAATAACCGAAAAAATAGCCGTAAACACCCTTATGTGTCTAGTATCAAAAAAAAGCTTATAAGAAGTTGAATCTAAACTTGCACATATGATTTATGCATTTGAAATTTTTGAAAAAAACTCCAATTTGCGTTTTTGACCATCCTGTATAAGCAAAAATTGAAATTCGAAAAACTAACAAATAAGATAAAAGCTCTGGTGTTTAAGTTTTTTTTGATACAAAATTCAGCACTCCAAATTTCAAAATGGCGGTCTGAGGGGTTGCCGAAGTGGTAGGTTTTTCTAGACAAAACACCTGATATCTAAGTAGCTAATTACCAAAACCTCATAGTATGTGGTATCAATTTTCTTCTTTTGAATTGGTTTATCCAAATATGCAATAAAATTTGAGGCATCCCATTTGAAAAATCACAACTTTGATATTTAGGCCTCAATTGGGACACGTTATGTATAACATCCCATGAATAGATTTGCCCAAAATGTATGTTTATGAGTAATATTCCGTCCACACATGGATGGGCCACCCTGTATAGTATGTGTTGAGCAGAGTTTCCACTATTCGGGTTCTTGATTTACATTCATAATTTTTTCGCCTATAAATTAACCTTGATTCTTGTCCAATGTTTAGGTAGACTGCTTAAGGAAGGTGGATGCCAAAACGTTACTCATGTCTCTGAAGGCCATGGCAGTATACTTAAACACAGTTCCAATCACTCCATTTGGCCCTTCAGTTGAGAAAGGCAGCAACAACACATTCCTACCTGATCTGCCCTATAGGTTACTTAAGGAGGGCAAAATCAATGATGTTCCTTTGATTGTGAGCAACACTAAAGATGAGGCAGTGTTCCCCATAGGCAGTAAGTATGATTCATTGCCTCGATTTCCGAGATTTACTTCAAGTAGACCTATGCCATACCATCGAACCATTTGTAAGCTGATAGCACTGTATGGGATCTGTAGTGTCAACCTACCTATGAGAACAAGTTTTAGGAGAGATGATATGAGGTTACAACCAACAAGAATGAGCTATCGAATACTATAATCCAAAGAAACTAATGATATGATGCTGGTTATATATATATATATATATATATATATAACTTGAGACGTGGTCATTGTCGTCTAGACCAGTCAGGTGAAAAATTAAAGCTTCCGCCTTTTGTTGGGTACTTATCATCAGGCAATCATCAAGTGGCTTCACGATGTAATGTTTAACTTTCATTTCCTAAAAAATTTTTTAATCTGTTTTTAACTTGTTCTTGTCATACAGCTGTGTGTATTTTATATAATTTTGACCAGTTAACCATTTATCCAGCTTTCACCATGTTACTGGGTGTTTCCCTCATCCTCAACGTAAACAACAATTAGCAACATCCACACATACTACTCTCCTGATGATGATGGCAAAGACCATTGAAAGCTAGATAGAAAAAAAAAGTATAAAGAGTCCTTGCTTAAATTTTGTCGAAGTACCCAACAAAAGGCGGAAGCTTTAATTTTTCACCTATATATATATATATATATATATATATATATATACAGGGTGTTCCATAATTATTGCGACAAAATGATAGGGGTTGTAGAGGGCATAAAAATATGCAATTTTGCCTTATAAACCCCTGTTCGTAAATATGCCGTTTGAGCACTACAGTTAATTTTACCTTAAGAGCTCATAGGAGAAACAAAAAATTCACCAGTTGCAAAATGTTCGTCTAGCACATTTCATGGTCTCACCGGTTTGTAAAAAAAGCCTGCTGTGTTTACATTTTTGTTATCGTACACCCGTACCACCTTTTAAAAGTCCAAGCCATGGGTCCAGCAGACTATCTGCCGCGTCGACGTTTTTGCCGTTGGTGGCTGCAGCAGGAGTTGAGGCAACCAAACTTTGGTCGCTACGTTTTGTTCACTGACGAGTCCTGTTTTACAAAGGACGGTTATTTTAATAGCCATAACAGTCACATTTGGGATGAAGAAAACCCTCATGCCATAGCCATCCATAGAGACCAACATCAGTTTTCAATTAACATCTGGTGCGGCATTGTGGACGAGCATATCATCGGGCCATATCTGCTTCCACCACGTTTGGATGGACATGCTTATGGTCGATCCTTACAGCATGTGCTACCGGAACTATTACAAAATGTGCCACTGAATATAAGAGCCAACATGTGGTTTCAACACCATGGCGGTCCAGCCCACTTTTCTTTACAAGTGCGGCAGTATTTGGACGACAAATTTCCAAATAGGTGGATAGGCCGAGGTGGCCCTGTGCCTTGGCCTGCGCGGTCACTTGACCTGACCACACTGGATTATTTTATCTGGAGCTATCTGAAAGCTTTAGTGTACGAAACTCCTGTTGCCAACCAACAAGAGCTACTGGGAAGAGTGATGGCCGCGTCCGCACATGTTCAGGACATACCGGGGGTATGCCACAGAGTTCGCCGATCATTGAACAATCGTGCACAGCTGTGTATTGAGCAAGGTGGAGGACACTTTGAGCAATTACTGTAGGTAAGCTGTTTCAAGAAACTAATCTTTTTTTTTTTGCTGCAGCCCAAACGGCATATTTCCGAACAGGGGTTTATAAGGAAAAATTGTTCATTTTGATGCCCTCTACAACCCCTATCATTTTGTCGCAATAATTATGGAACACCCTGTATATTAAAATGATCTGGTGCACTAAAAAGAACCGTTTGGGACTGTCACAACAAGCACTTGTCGGAAAGAAGCCACAGGGCCACTGTAGAAAGTGCTTCAGAAACAAATTTTAAGAACTGAGTTAATACGTACGAGAAATGTGAAAATGTTTATAAATGCGTGGAAAATGCCGACTTAAGTCTGTTTGAACTAACTTTTGTATTACTTTCAGTTATGGTCGCACTGGATCTATTAGACGACTTGGATAAAAAGTGGAATATTTTAGGAGCTTATATGATGGACTGTCATGATACTGTATACAAAAAACAGTGGAAGGAAGTCACTACAAAAATTAAACAACATTTTCTGCAAGGGAAACCTTTCACTTCAGATATTCCCGTCACGTTAAAGGTACGTTTACTATTTAGAGTTTGGGATATTTTAATTTTTTTTATTTACCTAGTATGAACATCTACTTTCAAAAAGTATATTCAGGGAAATGCAGAGAAATTAAATGAGTTCTCGTTCAATATACGAATTTCAAATACTTTATTTCAAACATACTGGCAATAAAGCGAGGATAAATTCAGATCTTAAAAATCCAACTTTGTCTTGGTGGAGCATATCTTTTTATAAACGGTATTATTTTGTTTCAGTTGTTCAGCGAAAGGTTGTGGTTTTTGGACACTGAAAAGACATTAAGATTGCAGTCTAAGGTCGCAAAGTCTCCTGTCTATTTCTATCTTTACAAATATATGATGAAGTTACCTTCAATGTTTCCAGGGTCAAAAATAGGTATACATTATTTTTTAGATTTGGACTATCTAAACAAGCTAAGGAAAAATTAGCAAGCATATTTTAATTAATAGAGAGCTCTCTCAGGATATCCTCCGTCATTTTTTTCACTCCTTCATGCCTTTTGGGTGTAGTAAAGACACGTCTGAAGGAGGGCCAGAAAAATCGGTTTCACAGCCTTTTGAGTTTCTGACTAGTTTGGTGTAGTCGAAAAACTTTGTTAGGCTACTCAAAACCTTATCAAACACAACAATAAAGATGTATTTGCATAATTATACTATAGAGGGTGTCCGCAAAGTTGGGGTTTTCCTTTACACGACGTGTAGATCTTGAAAACATAAGCAATTTTTCTTAGTACCATATACCGAGATAAAGGGCTCTGCAACATCAAAAATATCTGAATTCCATCCTGTAGCCTCGACTCGCGACATCCCCGAGTGGTACTAGGACACTAGCTCAACCCGACGACAGAACTGGATCGGGGTCAGTGTGTCAGGTCAGTATGCAACCTTCAACCGACGGTTACGGTCACGCGTGTAGAGATAAACTAACCCGTATAATCGAAGAGGGGCTGTATCCGTTTCACGTCCAACGTGTAGAAGCCCTTCAACCTGACGATTTTCCAGCAAGAGTGCGGTTTTGTGAGTGGTTGTTGCATCAACATGACAATAATCCGGACTTTTTGAAGTGCATATTGGTGACAGACGAATCTACGTTCACGCGTAATGGGGTGAATAACTTTCGCAACACTCATGTTTGGTCAGTAGAAAATCCGCACGCTGTCCGTCGGGCACATTTTCAACAAACATTTTCGGTGAATGTTTGGGCTGGCATGGTGAACGGTATGCTCATTGGACCATTTATTCTCCCAAATCGATTGGATGGGATGCAATACCTAGACTTTTTACGCAACATTTTGCCTTCCTTGTTAGAAGATGTGCCATTAAGTGTAAGACAATCAATGTGGTTTCTGCACGATGGTCATATTTGTTACCTCTGTTCGTGGTCTGCACCACCGCCGGCGTCTGCTCCGTAGCGCATCAGCTGATTTCATTTTCTGTTGGAGCGGTATGATTTCGGGCAGAGACGTACTTAGCCCTTCTCGTCAACTGGAGAGTGAGTACTTTTTCCTTAATTTTTTTTACTTGGTCACCCTCGTTTCACTACACATTACCTTTGTTATTTCAAGGGTAGTAGTTTCTGAAAAGGAAAACCCCAACTTTGCGGACACCCTGTATATAACGTATGTCTTAAAAGTTGTGGCACAAAATTCATTGGCTTTAATTGTAACAAACACAAAATAATATCAAGTTGCCTTTGGTAACAAAAGTTTGTTTACTTACTTCATTGTTAGTTGACATTTATTTATATTGAAGTTTCGCTTTGAGATGTCATATAAATTAGAAATAAAAAAAGTATCATTTATTGAACAATAGCGGAGTACGAGCAGGGAATACCATGTCTGAATTTCCAGAAAAAAGGAAGACCACGTGCATTTACTGCACAAAGGTTAGACAGATTGGTGAGAAGAGCAAAAAATCAGGTTTTACAGTCAACAAGGAGACTGGCTCATCAATATAGATCTTCTAATAGTACGATATCCTTGGAGTTAAGGAGGAATGGTCTTACATATCGAAAGAGACTTAAGTGCCCCAAATACTCTCAAGCGTATACCAAGATGGTTTCGACACTTTGCCAATGGAAAAATCATTGTTTTAGATGACGAAAAGTATTTCACTTTGAGTAATTCTGAAATGAACGGAACCGACGGATTTTGTACGAACAATGTAGAGGAATGCCCCGACAATGTTAGATACAAACAAAAAGCGAAATTTGCAGATAAAATCCTTGTCTGGTGAGAAATTTCCAACAGGGGTGTATTGCAACCTTTTATGGGAAGAGTGGGGGGTGAAGCTTTAAATACTCGTAGTTAGAGCTATTTTGATAATTGCCTTTCCAAATTGCTTCAGTTTGTCCAAGAACATCAAGCTAATGACCATATTATGTTTTGGCCAGACCTAGCATTATGCCATTACTCATTAAAAAAGTTTCGATAAATATTTTGCGCTAAAACTTTTAGGACATACGTTATAATAATTTTGTCAGATACATGAAAAACGGTATCCTAGGAGCATTTATGTACCAATGTTTTCCAATTTGCGCATATTATAAGGACCAAGTCGATCTGCTTGACACCATTTTTCTCAATAGGTGTAGGCCACGGTGACGATTCAAGGTTATTCCTGAAAATGTTTTTGTCGCCTGACAGTTTTGAACCTGAAGATGAAAAAATGATGAAGCTATTTTTGGACTTCGTTGCAACATACGCAAAAACGGGGTAAGAAAAAATAACAACAGCAACTTTTGAAACTGTCAAATAAGTAACTTTAGAAATGGACACCATTTTTATTTTTAAATTTTTACTACCTTTAACGTCTTGAAAAGATTTCTCAAATATATACCACCTTCAATAAAGATCGAATCAAATAATAATTCCTTAAAAACGTCCAAAGGTTCCGATCCAAAAAAATGTCAATTTTTCATAAGTCAACGACAATGTTGTTCTGCGATACAAAGTAGCAATACAAGTCGCCGTGTTTTTTCTTATTTGAAGCAACCCAATTCAACAATTATTAATTGTTTTCAGTGTGCCGACTTTCAAAAACACGACATGGCTACCAATCCAACCAGAAAGTGAAGAATTAGACGTATTGTCAATATACTCGCCAGAAAGGGTGCAAATGGAAAAATACAATGAGCTGGCAGATGTACAGTTTTGGAATAACTTACCAATCAGAGAAAATGAAAATGCAATATAATTAAACTTGATGGTTCTAAATCCTTATTCGTATTTTCCTTTATTACCGTATAGCTACATCCACCATTTTTTGAAATCCAAGTAGAACAGTTTCTAAGGAGAAGTTTTGAGATGTTCAGGATAACATAAGCAATGACATACAAAATATAGATGAAATATAATCAACCAGTGGAAAAATTATTGAAATCGGTCGATAAATGACAGACAAATTAATACTTAAAGTTGGCGCATTATAGCACGAAATCATTGCTGCCGTCAGCTCGGGTCTGACGTCACACTTCGCTAGAGCCGAGCGTGCCGACAGCGTCTGTGCGTTTAGTAATTATTAGGGTAACAACGCACGAGCCGCTAACCGCGGCGGATGGCGGTCACGCGGATGTTAGTTTGTGTAGGAATAATTGGCAGTCAACTCACTGGCAACCACGTAACCGCGCGGATGAGCGGACGCCGGCATTGGACGCGGCGAACACGGAGACCGCGCGGACTTTCATGACGACTAACCTAGCAACCAGCCATCCGCGACGGTTTCCGTAAAGCAATCCGCACTTCCCCGCGGTACCGCAAATCCGCCACCAGCCGCGGTGCGCGGCTCGTGCGTTATTACCCTGTCTATAGACAATTCATAACGCCGGGAATACACTTGAGCCGAGGCAAGCCGCGCACCGAACAGGCAGCCTTGGCCGAGCCGTGCCTCGTTCGAGCGCAGTGTGTACGGAATTTTCGATCAGCATTTCCCTCAGAGCGAATATAGAGTCTATTTTTGGACATTTACAAATTGTGGGACTAACTTCTGTACTTAAATCTAGGCATTTTTCATTCCTCCACTCCGATCTGAGCGATAAACTATTAATTTGATTTTTATTTCAATTCCCTCAGTCCCCGCGTGGAAATTCAATGAAATTTATCAAGCTGACGTAGTTTTGTCGACATCTTCTAATATTCTACAAGTAAACGAAGTAATAACATAGAAAGAAAAGGAAATCAAAATGAACCGCTCCACTAAGTAAGTAATCACCGAGTATGTGCTCCTGACGGATCAGCTGACATTTATGCAGTGATGGAATTCTGTGACCAATGTGAGGAAAAAATTGACACTGTTGTGTGTCATAATTGAGCGGCTAAGCTTGGTGAATGTAAACACACAATAACGTTTTTGATCTGGCTTTTGAAAAGAAGCGAGTAACCTGCAAGTACTTCAGTAGAATGTTACTGGATGAAACTGGCGCTACCTCAAGTTGGCAGTAGTATTATGTTTATTAAAGCGAAATATTTCAGTAACGAAACTGGAAGTTCTTCAAATTTAGATGTAGTAGAGGATCCTAACTTCTTCCAAAGACTCATTAATGAATTTAAACGAAGACACCTTAATAAGACCCAAGTAATAGCTTACTTTACAGATACAAGCATAGAAATGCAATATTTGCTTTTTGTGTTTGATTTTTGTGTCATGATCACCTGCTACAGATACAGTATAATCTTCAAGCAGTAGATCTTCTAATGCTTTCGATTTTTGGTAAGGTGAGTCACACTGAATGAATTCGAATGGTTGCCAACTTGAGGTGGAGAGAACAAGTCGTCTAAGCATCCTATGATGAGAAAAGTCTCATATGCTCTGCATTCTTCAAACGCCGCACACCTTTTTGGCAGTCAAACTTACGAGGGTTTACTCCGACTTTCAGCTTCAATCCTCCATCGACAAGTTTATATTTTATCAGATTTTCAGTATTATTCTCAATCTGAATTAACAAAAACGCATTCGAAGTCGAACTTTGAAATAACCTAATTTGGTAAAGGTGTTACTTTTCTAAAATCTCATTAAAATATACAGGGTGTAAACGGTATGGTAGTCATTATTGAAATGGGTAATAGAGGGGGTCAAAACAAGTCAAAAAGTTGATATGACCCATGGTCCAAAAGCCAATAGATTTTTGTCTAAATGGCTTCATACTTTACAACTTTAATCTAATCTAAAACGTTTTTAAATTGGGTAATTAACAAATAAATGGCATTAAGTTTTTCTAAGTTAAGCCAAAATGTGTAGTCAGTAAGTTCTCTTATCGAACCGGTAATCGATCGCAAACGGTAACAGTGGTAAGTTATCGGGAAACGGGCGTGTTTTGTTTTTGTTCGCGTACGTCATCATGTTTCTTTACGAATCAAGAGTTCGCCGACATGTTGTTAGTTTACGGTGAAGCTCGTCAGAATTCAAATCTTGCAGCTCAAATTTATCGAGACAGATTTCGCCAATGGGTACACCCAGACAGAAGGACATTTGTGCAAGTCAACCAAAGACTTCGAGATACAGGAAGTGTTCAGCCCACTAATATTCGCACTCGTAAAAGACAGATTACTGTAGAGCAGAAAGAACAAATTTTAAATATCGTGGAAATCAATGCAGATATCAGCACTCGGGAATTAGGCCGCAGCGCAGGACTATCGCATACCATAGTCCATAGAATCCTACGGGAAAATTTACTTTGTCCCTACCATGATGTACAACGAGTGCAGGCCTTGTTACCAGAAGACTATCCTCGCAGACTTACATTCTGTCAGTGATTTTTGCACAAAAACATTGAAAATCCGGATTTTTTTAAAAAACATTCTAGCGACGGACGAATGTACTTTTACGCGAGACCGGATATTAAATTTCCATAATACTTACACGTGGACTCAAGAAAATCCTCATACCATTCGTGAAGGTCGTAATTACGCTTGTGTGGAAAGTGGAGGACGACATTTTGAACACCTTCTTTAAATACAAAAAAGTGCAGTGTGGGTTTTAAAAAGAAAAACAATATATGTATCAACATTGTGTTTCCTATTTATAAGTGGATTTTTTTAATTCGTTCAATAAACTTTCACACACCAGGTGAAGCGCTGAGCCGGTTAGTGGTAAATCCGTTTTTTTAATTATTTGCATTTTACGAGTACATTATCAAATAATGAAATAATACCTAAGAGCCAAAAATAACAAACTCCATCTGTATTTACACAGCGTTCCGTCGTAATTTCCGTCTGGCATTGCGGCGTTGTCAGATTTTATTTTACTTTAAAGTCCCTTTTCTCTAAAAAAATGCCGTTTTGACCCCCATGTTATATGAAACTGTTTGCTTCTTTTAACCCCTTCTATCACCCATTTAAATAATAACTCATAACGTTTACACCCTGTATAATAACATTGCACATAATGCAGTACAGAGTCAACCTACTTCACGACTTTTTAGGGGGGTAAGTGACACTATAGTAGCTCACAGCTACTCTCGATTAGTTGATAAATATTTCCTTGATAAATACCGCGCGTACAGCGAAATGAGCTTGGAAATCATATAATAACTAATAATCATAAATAGTAGTAGTAGTAAAGTGATATACGCATATCAAAGTGGTCTTCACAGACATGTTGTACTTTTTATTCCAATCAAATCCCGCTTCACAAGTTTGCACCATTTCTTCAGTATGTATACTGTGTGTTTGGGAAATTGAGTGGGCCACGGCCGTGGCAACTGGATAGCGAAGTGTGACGTCACGCGTCGCGTTCAGAGGGAATAAAGATATTTTCGAGAGTCGGATAGGCTGTAACTTTTTTGTTTTTAGATACAAAAAATATTTTCCCCATCTTGTTTCATTTTTCTTAAAATTTCATTTGAGCTAATAAAAAAAATGGTAAACTTGTCCATTATGTAATCAAATCCCATTTATGCCTCGCCAAAGCAAACATGAGCACTCGATCGTCGCTTCTTTTCGCTTGTCGCTACCCTACCCAGGCATCTATGGCCCGCTGGCCAAACATACTAAGTGACACATAAATCCGAACACCCAGTTTAAATGGTTTTATTTTAATAAAATTATGTATAAGTACTTAATGAAGCATAATAAGTAAATGATAAAATTTCAAAATGATTGCACTGCTTTAAAGCCCTTTGACCTTTAATAATGTGTGGATGCACCCTGATGTGCTACGCATTCTCCAACGCGCCTAGGCATGCTTCTGATCAGGTGGTCAATGTCCTCCTGTGGTATCTCATTCCAGGCAACCACCAACTCCTCTTGAAGTGCTTCTAGAGTCTGAGGAGGACGTTGCAAATTGAGCAATCTCCTACCCATCATATCCCACACGTGCTCAATTGGGGATAAGTCGGGAGATCTTGGTGGCCATGGTAACAATGTGACATCATTATGTTGAAAGAAGTCTATTGTGACTCTTGCAACATGTGGTCGGGCATTATCTTGTTGGAAAGTTGGATCTGCCAGGGTGTCAAGATAGGGTAAAAGATGGGGTTCTAGAACTTCGTGGATATAACGCTGCGCGTTCATGTTACCTCTGATGAAGATTAAAGGTGACCTGGAACCATAAGCTATAGCACCCCAAACCATAACTCCAACAGTGTGATGAGCATATCTTTCAACAAAAAACTGTGGATTCCTCCTTTCACCACGTCGCCTTCTAACCCTGTCACGACCATCGTGCATGCCTAAACAAAATCGAGACTCGTCACTAAAGACAAGACTGTTCCATTCCTGATCCCAGAGTCACCGTTGTCTGCACCACTCAAGGCGATTACGTCGGTGTTCTCGAGTTAAAGGGAGGACCCAACGCCAACGTTGATTCTTTACTGCGGCTGAAATATTCATTTTTAGAGCGTTAGTGAATTAAAAAAAAGCAGTATAAAAACCGGAATGTCCAACTGATAAGGCTGAAAATTTTTTCACTTGTTATTTACGTTACAGTAAGATAAATACATTCACCAACTTTTATTAAAATAAAACCATTTAAACTGGGTGTTCGGATTTATATGTCACTTAGTATATTTGCTTTATCGAGGCGAAAATGGAATTTGAAAATATAACAGGGTGACAAATGCATAACGGACTGATTTATTTCTCTATTATCTTCAGAATCATGAAATGGATCAAATTTTCTTATGAAAAATTAGAAGTTGAAGATGATGAAAAATGATATCTAACATATAAATGTCCGAATACGAATATTACTCTGTAGTAGGTCGACTAACAAGGTTTGTTTGTGCCAGATCAAGTCCTGGGTGATCTCGACTACGAATGGGATCGCCTAATGGGGAAATGAAAAACGTAAGGAGCGATACGTGTCAACCACTTATCGACAAAGCTTAGTAGCTCTCAAAATTGAAC